TGTTGCCCATGTTGCCCTTGTTGCCCTTGTTGCCCATGTTGCCCTTGTTGCCCTGTTGCCCATGTTGCCCTTGTGGCCCATGTTACCTATGTTGTCGTTGTTGCCCATGTGGCCTTTGTTGCGCACTTTTGTGGGAAGGGGGTGACTTAGCAGTTATACGTAAGACAGGAAGAAGACAAAATTAACCCTGTTCACTCTTTTATTTTTATTTGATATCAGCACATCTTGACTATGCCATTTTCTCCAGCAAGCAGTCGCTGCAACACCAGTCACTAGGTGGCTCGGACTTCAAGCCTGCACATCGACTACAAGAGAAAGACATAATACTTAGTTAGGTAGTGGTCTTGTGATTGGAAGGCAAGAATCATTTCCATATAGTACAATGAAATAGAATTATTTAATTGGAAAATGACGTACGAAAAAAAAAAATCTTCTGGAGATAAGGTTAAAATAAATTTCTCATCTACTACTGTTTGGTACAGTAATACGTAATTTGTATGTGTTTGATATGTTACTTCATGTACCTACAAGTGGTACCACTGAAGGCAGTCGGTACACTCAACCCAGTCGATTGCTCCCTTTTTGTTTCCTGGAGGTGAGCTTTCTCGGCACAATAGACAAACATCACTACTGCCACTTCCTAAGTATAAAGTGGGAAAGGAGTTGCGGTTAACGTACTGGAACCTCGTGGTATTGTTACGAGTAGCATTTGCAATGACGCATATATACCTTTATGGATTCTCTTTGTGACGCCAATAGCCCCAGCTACAAAAGAAAAACGTCCAGTACCTGACATAAAACGATAAAAGCTTGTCATTCAGAAGTTCCATTAAAGTTTATAAAACAAAACAGTTACTTAAAAAAACGCGTGCAATTTTCCATGATAGAATTCATAAGCAATTTTAGACCAAACTACGCTTTAAAAAAGTGTTTATAAAGATACCGGTAACTGTATCCCCATCTGCTACTGAATTGCATGCACTGCGAGTAATTTTCTAACTAACATTATTACCATCATTTTCTCCTGGTTCCTCGCTCTGTTCATCAGCTGACATTGCAGCCTCTGTGGTACATGAGGAAAACGGAAACAAACGAACCTTAACATTTCCCATAATAAAACACATCACGCGCCTTTACTGACCAAAGTGTGCAAACCCAGTTAACTTCAGAACAATGTGGATATCAAGTTAACCATAACTCTGGTAAATTGCATACATTATGAGCAGTTTTCTAACTGAAGTTATTACCATTATCTTCTCCTGGTTCGTCGCTTCGCTCAGTTGACACCTCGGACTCTGTGATACAGGAGGAAAAGACGAACAAACGAGCCTTAAAAGAATTTTCCAAATACATGTTTTGCTTCCGAAATAATTAACTAAACAGGTCTCCAGCAGACAAAACAACTTGTAAAACGTTAAATAAAAACTCTAGATAACGGAATTACCTTCATCACTTGTTTCGTCTACAGTCAAGTCTGAATCTGTCGTTTGGTGGAAAAGTATATATGAAGTCATTTAAATCCTGTAAAATGTAATCACAATGGAGTAACACATTGGCCAGTAAAAATCAAAAGCTCACCTGAAAAGATATCTCTAGTACACCTGGAGCGTTTCAGCCTCATGGCAGAAGAATAACCCTTAAGAAAGAGAATGCAAATAGAAAGTTGGTTTGAATTCACAGGTAGCCCAACCAGTTAGGTTAGTAGTTAGTTTGTCAATCGGTCAGACAGTCCGTTGGTCGACCGTTCGGCTGGTCGGTTGTCGGTCAGTTAGTCAGCCCTCCATCAAGAATTCCATTAGCTAGTTGGATGGTCCGTTTTTTTTTTGTTGGGCATTTCGAAGTTATGTTTTTTAGTAAATTGTAATTAACAATGGCACTGACCAATTTAAAAGCTTCTCTTTTGAGAGGCGTCATCTGCCTGTACCTCTCCTCTGTAGATGGAGTCATCTAAAAAACAGGATTTAGTTCCTCCGTCAAACTTACTGGTCTTGTATAGTAATGAGCCCAAAAAACCATTAATTTCTTCAATAAACTAACACAGGAATATGCTGTTGACTGATACCTCCAGATCTATTTTCTCTTCGCATGCCCCTTTCTTTTTGGGGGTGGAGTGATGCAGTGGCGAAAAAGGTGTAACCGTTACATCTGCAAACAACATCAGAGATCGTGGTTACGGACTTCTCAAAAAGTACATGGGGGAAGTGGGCCGGAGCATTTCAAAAGGTGGTGGTATTATAATTATTTACGTTTTAGATTTAGCTCTTAACAATAATACCAAATGATCTAAAATAATATTGTTTTCCTTTGCTCTTGTAACTTTAAGTCATATTACCATCTCTGTTGTACACCAGCCAAGTGTACTTTTTCAGCCACGGCTCGAAAAGTTTTCGTTCTTAATTTGGAACTGGAAGGAGTTACCTTCGTTGTCGATTTCTCAAATGTGTGCCAATTCCTGTTATGAAATAGCATGACCCACCCCCATGGGTAGCTGAAAATTGAACGACCCACCTTTACCAATGCAAGAGCTCAAAAACTGACGACCCACCCCTATCTGCTGCACCCCCCTCCCCCTCCCCTCCACAATACTTTTTGACCAGTCCCTTAGGTTGATGCACTAAAGAATTAATTTCGGCTTGACTGAAATAGTATTCGCTGAGTTGCTTACTACACGCAGTATAAAACAACAGACCTTCCCACAGTCTCTTGACATCCATTTGTATGCCATTGAGAAGTATGACGTACTCCTCTTCTTTGTCAGTATCTTTCTCCTCCTGACAATCAGGAACTTCAGTTACTACTGAGTCACTTTTTTCCTTTTCCTTCTCCTCTCCCTCGTCATTGCCACCATCGTTACAATCAGGAGCGGTTTCCCCTGGGGGATCATGTCTTGCACCAGTTGCTAATAAATCGATAGAAAGCCGGAATAATTTAAGTTAATTAATTTTGTTAACTTATGTAGCGCGACGTTTCATTTACAATTGAACCCCGTTAATGCGGTCACCAACTGGCCATGAAAATTTGACCGTATAAACTGGGTGGGGTCAAATTTCATGATTGGCCTAAAATGAGTGTCGTCCTAACAGATATATCACAAATGCACTTCTAAACAACTTTTCTCTAATAAGGAATGCAGATTTATTTTTTCAAAATAAATGAAACTTCAGTCGGTACATACACATAAAGATAAAGATGAAAATAACTGGTTTGAGTGGCCGTATAAA